TGTATCATACCCATTTGAGAACCAGCTCCTAAAATCTGCTCCAAGATCCAAGAGGAATTCAGTTACAGAGTTTGGGTCAAGGTTATCTGTAGGACTGTCTTTTCCAAACAGCATTTACCTGTCCTGTACATTCAATCCAGTATAGGACTCTTTGGGATATGAGGGAGGGCCAAGAGAATTTCTTGGTAGAAACCCTGTCCCTTTGAAACAGCTTGCATTTTGAGGTTTGGATTGTACCAACATTGTTGGCATTCAGAAGGTGATGAAGACCGTTCTTGCCCACATGTGTTTGGGTATAAATGCCTTATTACTGGGCTACTACTGCAGGTATTTGTGTTTTGTGGCCTTTTGTGGGTTTGGTTTTAATTTTATTTTACTTTAATTCTATCTTAATGCTATCTGTAACATGTTTAATTTTTGGAGGTGTTTAACTGACTTTTTGTTGTACTTGGGTTTATGAATCTTATAGAAACTAGTAAATAAATAGCCCTATTTCTCTCCATGGGGAAACAATATGTTTATGAAAAGAAAATCTTAGTGAATCCTCAAGGGCTGATACAGGAAGATTCCTTACCCACCAGAAAAATTATGTTAAGCCATGGAATGAAATTAAGAAGGACTTTTTAAGATGGGAGAAATTACAACTGTCATTGTTAGGGAGAATTTCTGTGATAAAATTAATGTTTTGTCAAGGATGATGTTTTTGCTTCAAACAATACCTACTCTGACAAAGATATATCTAAGTTTGTATAGCAAGGGAAAAAAACAAGAGTTAAATATAAAACACTTCAAGATGCAAAGGAACAAGGAACTCCCTGATTTGGAACTGCCTGATTTGAAATTGTGTTTTGCAGCCTGCTGCTTAGTTTGGATGAAAGAGTGGATTTTGCTGAGAAATAAAAGAATTTACAGTAGAATTAAAAGGGCATGATATGAGGTTCAGATGGCATGGTTTTCTATGGTATGATAAGGTTAATGTAGATTTTAAGAATCATTACATGAAGGTGCCATATTGAGAATATGGAACAGATACAAACCCAGACCATGCCCTAAAATGCCTTTATGGGTCTCAGCACAAGAAGCATTTTTCAGGAAAGGAACAGTAGGTAAAGAAACATGGTTAACTTATTGAGAGTTGTTAGAACAGGAACATGGAGAATATATAAGATGAAATCAAAAGAGCAATTGGCTGCAGAGGGATTTAGTGTTCAATGGTTTTCATATGTACAGTTAAGAGATTTAAGGTAGATAATAGGCATTTGAAACTGAGCAGCAAAAGACAGAATTCGAAGTTGAATTATGTACAAATGACGAACATGTAATTGCTAAAATATATGAATTTTTACTGAAATTTGAAATGGAAGAACAATTGAAAGACTGTATGATAAAATGGGCTAAGAACTTTGGACACAATATACTGATGGAACAGTGGGAAAATATTTGGTTAAAAGGATTGAAATTAACATTATGTTATAACCTAAAAGAGAATTTTAATAACATGATGCACTGTCGGTATATGACTCCAGAAAAATTGTCTAGAATGTATAAAGGTACTTCAAATTTATGTTGGAA